CTTTCAGGATCACCCCCTCTGATCCTCATGACAACTTGGCGGGGGCGGCGGGGTAGGCGTACACCCTCATCTTACTGACGGAAGGTAGAGGCCAAGAGAGGTGAAACTTGCTCGGGGGTGCAGTTCATAGGCGGCAGAGCTGGGTTTTGAGCCCCGGTCTGCCAGGTTTCAAGGCCCAGGCCTTCCCACTGCTTCCTGACGCCCACCTTGGAGACCTGCTGCCTCCGTAGTAGGGAGCTGTCCCCTCTTGTGGCCCTAGTCTGGACGGGGAAGTTGGTGGCAAGAGGCAGCAGCACTAGGTGGAACTTTTGCAGTTTGAGTCCGACGAGGTGGGACCGCGGCTCCGGGTGCTGGCCTTCCTCCTGTTTGTGCATGCTCTTCGTCAAGTTTCAGGGTGGCAAAAAATTTCTTACCTGCGGTGCCTTTTTTTCTGATACCAGCTGCTTCTCCAGGCCTCTGACGCCACCTGAGTAGCCTACAGTCGAGCTCTGTTTAGTGTTCCCAGGTTTAAGGCTCGGTCCCACAGGATTGCGCTCACTCCAGCTGCTGGCCACCAGTCAGAGTCACGGACTACCCAGGCTTCTGTCCGACGTGGCTACAAATTCTGGGGTTCCCATCCCTGCACCAGGTTAGGCAATTTGCTAGAACGACTCACATAGGGTTTAGGGAGACACCTGACTTGAGTTTAGTGGTTTATTACAGGAACAGCCAGGTGGGCGGACACGCGGAGGGCCGGGGTGGCATGGCACTCCCGTGCCCTCGCTGGGCACGCCGCCCTCCCCACACGCCAGCGAGTGCAGCAGGTGGGCGCCTGACCCTGCCGTGGGGAGGTTCGTGGAAGTTTTATGATCAGGTGAGATTGCTTCCTTGGCCTTTGGGAACTGAACTCAGTCTCCAGCCCCCGCCACCCCCCTCCCCCCGGAGGTGGAGGGTGGGCTGAAAGTTCCACCCCATCTCACTAATTACAAAAATTACTCTTATCCCTCAAGAGGTTTGAGGGGCTCTGTGCCTGGAACCCGGAATAAAGACCAAATATATTTTGTATTATACCCTGTTACCCCAAGTCAGGAAGTTGGTGTTTAAAATAACTTTCTACTTCTACTAATGTGTTCAAATCCTTTATATTCTGGACTAAATTTCAAACAGTTCATGTTTGATGAGTTGAGGAACTCCAAAAAATAATTTTGAGAAAACTTAACTGTATCCTTCAGTCTGATAAGCAGTTGTAATTTTATAGGAAAATTGTGTTTCTACTTTGAAAGAGTGATTCATCAGCCAAGGTTATATAAAAACTAGGAGATGCTCATGGCATGATGGAATCTTTGATGGCCTAGAACTACTTTGGTTAGCTAATAGTGTCCAACACACATTGAGAACTCCTGTCGCCGACCTGACCTGGCTGTTGCTGTTTGGCTAATTATTAGTAGCATTGCGGTCATTTCGCACATGGAGATGACATTGCTTTGGCTGTCGTTAGGAGACGTCATGTTAAGTTGTCACACTGCATTTTACACTGGGCGTCGGCAGATGACTGCGTGGCATAATGCTGGGTTGATAGCTTCTTGTTTGAGAGATTTCCTTACTTAGACCGAACACAGTTTGAGTGAGCTTTAGAGGAAGATGCTAGGACGAGGCTTCTTCTGACGCCATGTGCCCAGCCCTCCAGGAGAGCCGCAGGCAGCCCTTCCACCCGGAGACTGAGCAGGCGTGGCACCCTGTTCCTGCTGCACCCTAGTTTTGTGGGCTTTGCAGGGCACGGAGAACTCACCTGCAGACGGGACACCCGCGCTGCTGGCTCATCACAGCTTTTCCTTAGAGCTGGGCTGTCTCGGAGGGAACTCCAGGGGACCGCGAGAGGGTCACAGGCCCCCAGGATTCTCCCTCTAGTTAGCCTCTGCCCTTGAGGGCAAGGTGACCGTTTAAAGCGCGAAGGGCCTGGCCAAGATCGTACTTCCGTTACTTGTTTCTCTTGGGCCCCTTTCCCCCCGCCCTGGAGTGGAGGTCCCTGGAGGCCAGCAAGCCCACCTTTTCACTCCCCTAGGCCACTGCCGAGCCAGGGCAGCGAGACTGCTGGAGAGTCAGCGCTGTGGCGTTTTCTGGGTAAGCCACGTCGGGGTTCTTAAGCAGTGGTGGTTTTGCCTCCCGGGGGACATGTGGCAGTGCCCGGGGCATTTTGCGTTGTCACATCCAGGGCAGTGCTACTGGCGTTGGGTGGGTGGAGGCCAGGGCTGCGGCCGAACATCCTACAGCTGACAGGATGGCTTGGAGCAAGGGCCACCCAGCCCCAGGGCGGCAGTGCCCAGGCTGGGGACTTTGGCCTGTGATAATTTAGTGGCTGTCGAGGTCAGGTTTTCTTTCCTCTAAACCCGGCAGAAGAGCCCTGTTGGCTTTTCTGAAAGTGAAGAGCTGAAGAGAAACTTCTCTGAAAGAGACTCTGAAAGACACGTGTACCTGGAACAGGAGCCTGAATCCGCTGGGGCTGCTCGGGGCCGGGGCCTCCGTCCCTCAGAAGTCTGGGGTGGCGGCTGGACAGCGGAGCCTCGGCCAGCTGCGGGTGTCAGGCAGCCGCTCAGCCAGCGTCGTCCTTCGCGGCTCGCGGTGGCAGCGTGATTCGTGGTGGACGACAGATTTAGCCACTGTGCAGAACCGGGTTCGAGCCAGGCCTTGCAGAACCTTTGGAGTTTCAGAAATGGACAGAAACCCAGTGACAGCTGGTCACCCTTATGTCCCCTCCAGGGTTTGCTGAGGAAATCCAAATTCTGTCAGGCTGCCTGCGATTTCAGCAGTAATTCACGGACGAACACTTGTTCACCCGCCTCTGTGCCAGGCGCCGGAGTCAGCTGCGGTCCCTGCCTGTGAGACTCGCCGCCTGCCCGGGAAGATGGACACTGGTCGTGCAGCCCTGTGCACCGTGCAGTCAGTGGGCACGGAGTTACCGGGGAGACCTGCGGGGCGTGCGGGGGGAGCGGGGACGGGGGCAGCGGCTGAAGAACAGAGGCGCAGGCTGAATCGATCGGTTGGGTGAAGAGGGAGCGGGGCAAGGCAGGGGACAGAGCACATGCCATGTGAGACAGCCTGGGTCAGGACCTTCCGGAACAGAGGGGCGGAGCAGTGCAGCTCAGTGACCAGGTGTTAATGGCTTCGTTGGGACTGTCCCAGGGGAGGCTGTGGCAGAGCAGACGAATCGTGTTGGGCCTATAAGCAGCATTGAGCATTTTGGGTTTTATCTTACGACTTCCTCGACTTCCTTGAGGCAGGGAAGTGACATGATCAGATTTGCATTAAAAATTTGCATTTTTAAACAGGTTTGCTTGGTCACTTAAATTTTCAAACTACTTTAAATTTCTGGAAGATCAAAAGGCCTAGATGTGTGTGCATATTTTTAAAAAATAATAATAACAGCTTCATTGAGATATAATTCACATGCCGTAAAATCCATCCCTTAAGGTTCTTATACTCACAGAGTATGAGTATACTCACCACCGTCATCTCTCTAAATTCAGAACATTCCATCACTCCAGAAGGACACCCCATATCCATCAGCAGAGCACCCCCAACCCTTGGCCACCCTTGGCTCTGGATCTGCCTGTAACGGATCATTCATGTAAATGAAATCGTATAATTGTGGCCGTCTGTGCCTGGACTGTTTCACTGGGCACAGTGCTTTCAAGGTTCTTCTGGGTCGTGGCCTTGCCAGCACCTCGCCCCTCATCGGGGCTGATTGATACTGCGTCGTGTGGGCGAGTCCCGAGGTGCGTGCCCATCCATCCGTTGACGGCCTCTCGGGCCACTTTCTGGCGATTGTGAAGAACGCTGTCATGGAGCCGACGTTTCTAGCACGCAAACGGTCGGGAGAAACGTGGACTCAGCCTTTATCTCCACGGAGAAGGGCTTTACTGCTTTTTCCTCTGCAGCGCTCAGCAGGCGGTTTCTTCTCTGAAAGTCGGGTGTGCCCGCAAAGGCCAACCACACACGTGGCGTGGTAAATTGAGAGAAACGCCATTGGAAACGCGTTTTCCTTTCGACACTGGAAAGCAGCGTTTGGGGTTGGTGGCGCCAATCCTTGCTTAGTCCCGGAGGTCAGGCTCCGCTGCTGCCCTCGCTGTCCGTCCACGTGCAGGGCAAGGGCTCAGCCCCCCGGGTCCCCCTGACTGGCTTCTCGTCCACATTAACAGGTGTACCTGACTGCCCGTTACCAGGGCCCTGGCTCACATCTCGCGTCATCATTTCAGAGAATAAAACCGAAAGCGAGTGTGGCATAGCACTGCAGAGTTCAGAGTGCGCACCACGAGGCCACGGGCGCCCAGACCAGTGGTCTGGACCTGCACTGCAGCCGGAGGCACAGCGAGTTTAAAATCAGTTAATGATCAAGAGCAATCGATCTT